AGCATGTCTAATTGCATCATCAAATTGTTAGTTTATTGTCATCACAGTCCATATAATTTCTCACTATGTAATAGTGTTGATCTCTATAATTCTTAGACACCTCTCACTAAGAAGGAGGAGCTATCAAGTACTAAGTGCGTCTAAAATTGTGCAACCTCAACATGTCGTTTTTATTTTGTGAGTTGAAATTCAAAAATCAATCTCTCATATGGATTTGGTATTTTTATTGAAATTTTTGTATGCACCATGGTTGAAACAAGTTGCAGTTTATCTAGATTGCATTAAAAAAATAACCTAAAAAGCCAATTGATAAGAGATTCTGTGAACCACATGAATTTTCTAGTATGTAATAAATGCAAATGTAATAAAATTCTCATCTCAAGTGAAAGTAAAAATGATTATAAATTAAAAAATTATACTTAACAATTTTTTGTTTGGATATTATAGTAGATTCAATATAAAAGATCTCTAAATATAAAAAATCTCTTATTTTGAAAGTTTTGAATCAACTTCCTTCAAAGTTAGTCATTTTCTTTCAATTCAAATTGATACTTTGTTACAACAAAATCATACCTATTTGTAAAATATTCTAGAGGTGGGCTAGTTATCCCTCACATGGACTAATTAGCCCTCACCCTACAATACGGATGTCAGTAATTGATGCGATCGGGCTATAGGATCCATGTCGTATAAAGTAAACTTTGCGAGTTCTAGTCTTTCTAATCGACGTCTAAGATATTAGGATGTCAAAAGCAACGGAAGAAGCCTGAGTGCTATCTCCGCGTTCGAGTAGCCACGTCAAGGTTCCCGGCAGCAAAAACGAGCTCATTGGTGCGAAATTTTGATCAACACAAGTGGTGTTTCAACATTGGTGTTCAATGCAAATGCGTTGATGCCTTTGCTTTGAGCGAGCTTGATTTTCCACTTGTAAGTGTTGATGGAATCTTATGCGTAAATCAAATAGTGAGCAAAGATCATTTTCTGAGTGATGGCCATTGATGCACGTTTAAGAGAAGTGCATTCTTTCATTGGATCGTTTTGATACCCGGGAGCTTTTCGGCGGAAGTGTATGAGGCGATTTAACGTCTGCATTGACGCAGAGCTGAATTTGTATGATCTCGAATATTATGTGGCGATATTTCAAGAAAATGGGATTTTTACGTCTTCCTAGTGTGAATCTATACTTGAACAAATTTTTCTCCAGAAGCGATTCTAATTGGGTGAATTTCTTGGAGTACGTGAGGCACTGATGCAATTGATCGTGTTTCAGCGTCTGCAAGCTCATGCAATTGAATGATTGTATTTTTTGATTCGAGGAACTTGCCGCAGATGATTTGATATGTCAAACACTCAGCCGGTTACTGAGAAATTATGTGCTCCTTTATCGACACGGAAATATCAAAGCATTTTTAGATGCAAGATTTTTCAACGCCTTTGAAGATATATGTATAAGATGCACAATTGAGCCTGTTTTCGTTGCTAGGAACCTTGACGTGGCTACTCGAATGCAGAGGTGGCAATCAGGCTTCTTCCGTGGTTTAGACACCTTGGCATCTTTGACGTCGATTAAAATGACTAGAACTCGCGAAGTTTACTTTTTACTACACGCATTCTATAGCCTGATTGCACCAATGACTGACATCAGTATAGTAGGATGAGGACCAACTAGCTCCAGGTGAGGGATAACTAGCCGCCACCTATTCCAAATAAAAAACTACTATTCTATGTCACAATACAAAATGATGTGTAGATGCACACTAGTGAACTATGAAATAATGTTTCTTGAGGATAAATTTCTCTGAAGTTGAAAAATATTGTCACATATGCATTTGTAAATAATATCTTTCATAAAGATTTTGTAAGATGAAAACAACTTATCTTACTCTTCAAAATAATAAAGATTCCAAGTTTAACCTATGTGTTCAGATTATATGATTATGATATCTTGATATAATTTTTTGTAAAAAAATTTCACAAATTATCTATTTTTATCCTTAAAGGTCCTTTATATGATTTTTCTATATCTTCATAAAACAAAAAATTGAAAATTGAAATTCATAAGATGAAATGGTTTTTTAAAAATATATTTCAATTTTTGTTAACAAATCTGAGTTCTTAAACATTCGAGAAAACTTCTAATTAGAAAATCCATTTCAGTTGAACCTCGTTAGAAAAAACATTCGTGGAATCAATCTATATATACAGTGTCAAGTCATGCAAAGTCATAATCTTTTGGCATCATGCGTTACACGTGCGTGCAAGCTGTACTTGAAGAGATTGTGTGTTTACGGGTCAATCCAACCTTTGTAAACAACCACGTCAGTGTGCTGGCTATTTGATCATTCTCCTCTATAGAGAGACAAGCTTTAAACATAGCCTCTCTATTAACGTGATACAGCAATATGTACGATAAATTAGATACAACTGCAATGTATACCAAAAAAGGTGATGATTACAAATTTGAAGTACGATGACTTTGTAAACCCAAAACCAATTTAACCACCTGCGATGCTGATAACATCCACCTAATTAAAAATTGGTATTGTAATCTACAGTAATCACAACGAGTTTGGGTCAAACAATAGCCAAACATGCCAAAAATATCAGAGCGTAGAGACTCAATAGGAAATAATTGATTATAATACGCATCAAACTGTAGAGCACACCAGCACTGCTCTTGAATACCATGTTGATTTCTTCGTACGAATTGCTTGAATGATGACATCCTCCATGCTGTACGTTTTCTCGTCCCAGTGAAGTGTAGTCCCCAATAGAACTTCGGTAGTCTGCGTGAAAACGATTGTAGCAATCCCATCTACCACAGTTCGTTGAATGATCCTATACATTCATCTGCATGTAACTGCATGTAACTGTAGGTCACCAGGCGTGATAGCACAGCTGCTTGAAATAACCGTAACCCTCGTTGTAGTACTGGTCTAGGAATAGTGAAAGTTGATGAAGACTCGGAATCCGTTTGAATCCACCTCATGTTGATGCAAGGGTGATTGGTGCATGTAAGCGCCTCGAAAGCTGTGGGTCGAACCATGGAGCACAAATCAAGCAGACAAAAAGCAATTTGTTATTGTATACTTTGTAGATTCTCATTTGGCGAGTCTTTCTCAAGTATAACTGCAACCTATTAGGAGATTGTATAAATCTCAAATCAAAATGACTTTCGTAAGTGATTCGATTGATTCTAGAAAAGTGGGCCAGATGGATAATTAAAAAATCTATGGAAAGACCACATCAAACAGGAAAAAACATTCTAAAAATTAGATTTTGAATTTCAAAGCAATGAGATTCTTCATGACATGTATAATATATCTGCATAATCATTTTCATTGGCTTGGAGAATTCTGTCGCAGTTCAAATCTAATGATTCTGTCGTATTATATGAGATGCATTGATCATTCACGTAATGAGTCATTCCGAGTTTTCATGCTTCATCAAAACTTGGAAAATGATCTACAAAGTAGAGATCAGGACAAAAATAATAATATATTATGATAATCATCTATATTGGATGTCTTAAAGAGATATATATTTTCAACAAATATTTTTAAATCATTTTAACTGACAGTTCTTATGGAATGTATCAATCCAACCTCATTGTTTAAAATTATAAAATCATGCTTGCCATCACGTGTCAAATCATTTCATAGCCTTTTGAAAAAGAGTTAGGAGGTTTAGAAAGAGCAATGTATAATATTCAAAAATTCGCTAATTTGATGGTTGAGAGGTTATCACGTAATAAATTCGTAACGCAGAAGAAACTCTACATCAACTTAATGGATACGAAATTCGTATGGAAATCTAGAATTAATGTTCAATAGAAAATTGTTCTGATTTTCTACACATCATTGGGTTACAATCAACTTGGTCACTGGAGGCAGTAGGTGACGGTTCCCTCGATATCTGGATCGTCCTACGAGTTCTTCTTCAACATGCTTCTTGGTTCGGAGTGCATTACACCGTATCACTACACCATGCTACTACAATAATAATGTGTCATTAGCTATGGTTTACTACATCGTGCTCAAATCTTCACTGAAAGAAAGTGATTGGATTGCAACTAAATTTATGGAAAAAGAGTAAGAAAACTGAGATAGCGCTAACGTTTGAGGAACTTCACTGTTAAAGATATTCCTTCTATTAAGCCATAGCACCTATGGTTCGATTAATATCCGTCAACGGCATCATAGAGTATGTTGAATGAATCTACACCAAATCTTCAGATTTTCTATCTTCCGTAAACCCCTAAAAGCATGCTTGAGGATGAGGGGCGGAGACGGCCTTACGCCGTCATCTGTATCTCCACAAACTTCGAGATTTTAGCAGTTTTACCAAATCTGCGATGTCACACTGGCCAGTTACACGGAAGGCTGAAGTTTGAAACAGCTGACCGGTAATAGTCAGTTGGCCGACCACACCACAACAGCAGCCGCCGATATCCTGCGGCGCAGCCTTCCCAGGATCTGGACATCCCCTTCCTTCCGTTCCTGGCAGTTTGCATTGGCGGATGACTCCAAGTTTGGAGATTTCATAAATACCCATTCATTTCACTACAGTAGATTACAGTGATTTACAGTGAATACATCTTGCATGTATTCAGTAGAAGCACTGGGAGAGGTGGTCTTCCTTCTAGATTGTACTGCACTTTACTCATTAATGTACTATGTTGAGCTGGTTCTAAAATATCCATCTGGTGTTGTGAAAAGTCCAACCATATGCACAAACCTAGTTATATGTTGAGGACAATGCTGGGCGTTGGGAATCTTACAAAATTCGAGTGTGGTTGCGTCCACTTCATAACTTGCACCAAACTCCATCTTAAATTACCTACTAATGTTCTCGAGCACACCCCATCATAGTATATCATGCACCAGAACACCGAATTTGTGACCGTGTTCGATGCGTGTCAATATTGTGGAATGAATTGTTATTGTCCATCTGGAGTAAATAACATCGAATCAACAAACAGAAGATGGATGCCGTACATGGTCTTTCAGCTGCCTTACGATCGGCGCCGACTTTTGTACGGTGGCTCCGGTCGATTCGAAGGACTCATTTCAATACGACGTAGGAACGAAGAGCGGCGGACTCCTCGTGTTGCGTTTCTTGCACCACCCTCCTTGTGCTCGCACCTATATCCACACTTTGGCTTTGGCCGAACCATGTCCGCTCGTGCTGGCCATCTTGCCATCTTCAAAGCGTGATACAAAAACCTGGCTCACAATTACGTGACTGTTATTAATTGTTATTGATTGACAGCTTAAGAGATTCCGGTGAACAATCTTGTTCTTCCAGTAGTGTCTTCTCTCAGCAGCCCGGCTCTTCCAACATGCCTCGAGTTTGGAACTCGTGATGCACGGAGATTCTGAAGATCGAGAGCTCGCAGATAGCCAGCCTTGTATCCTCTTCTGAGTTGACGACTTGACACGTCTTCCATGTACGATGAGGTGAAAATGTTCACGTTATTTGCGGATAATCAGATGACACCGATCGTCTTCCATGGGGGCGAAAACAACAATAGCAATTTGTGTAGATTCAACAACGTTCTACTCACTGATGACGAGGACATTGCGGAAGACGATGTCCATTTTGAGGGCATTGCGGTTGACTTCCCGAGAACATGGAGAAATTTTGACGAAGAAGTCTCGCCAGTGTTGATCCGAGTTCCCCGTGGTGTTCAGTTCAGACGTGGATTGCCTTCATACGAGCTGAGTCAGAACGCGGCGACTCAGTGGGGTTTGATGTCACCGGAGTTCATATTTCCTGGCATCACGACTGCCTTCCCTGGCACATTTGACGCAATCGCCTCCGCCGGTGGGCTTGTCCTCATCCCCAGTGATCAAGAAAATTTACAGGCGACAAGTTGCACCTCACTGGACTCGAGCTCGTGGCGGAAATCCACTCTGATAGTGTCGAATCCCAGAGAAAGATCTTATCGAATGTTGCCACCGATGATTGATATGTATAAGGAGATGACATGTAACAGCTTCTACACGGAACCCACAATGCCCCCGCCTCAAGTAATGGGTATATTTACGGATGCATCTACCGGAGTCTATCATGTTCCGATCTTACATCGTTCCCCATTGGAATCAGACGTGGTTGCTATGCAGGTTTACGACTCCGATACAGAAGCTTGGAGAATATTTGGGCAGTGGAGGATGTGGGAACCTGAATGGAAAGAGATCTTGGAGATGACGTACGTGGAAGGGACTTTTTTTTTCCTGGTGCATGACCATGGGCAAGGCCGCCACGAGATTCTTTTTCTGGAGGATGATGAGTGGCAAGCGATTGGCCTTCTGCCTGATGGTTACACACTTTCGAGTCCAACAATATTTGAGCTTGCAGGATCACTTATGCTGGGTGGATTCCTGCCGAAGGAGCAAGTCATGAACGAGTCGGATTTGCTGTGTATGATAGGTGAATCAACTGAAGAGTTGAGCTTCGGTTATGTTTGGCACCATGACTTTACCGACATGAAATGGAACCATTTCTGTAATGTACCATTCTATTGGAGTCATAACCTCTACAGGAGATCTCCCGGAAGTCCCCCATGCACTTTGAAGATCGTTGCAGGCGGCAATTACGTATGCTTTGCGAGCTCAAACGGCAAAATTGCTCAATTTGATGTGTCATACGAAGAGTGGACTTGGTTACCAGATTTAGAGATGAACAGCGATGAGAAGATTTTGATTGTGGATGGCAAAACGGACTCTCTCGGTTCATATGCATTCTAAAATGACCATTCCATTCTCTAGTTTAGATCTCTAATCTCAGTTTCAGATCCAGCAAACCGTCTTATCCAGATCATGGAGTTTCATGCATATATTTAATCTGTAAGGACCTTACAATTACTTTTGTCGAAGACCCTTTATTTCGAACGCTCTGCTTATATGTACAGCGAAAAGGTAGATATAGATGTTACGAGTTTTCCTTCCATGCGCATTATCTAGGTCCCCATACCACCAGCACACACTGTTGAGAGGAAATTGCGGACCAAAATTTTATATATCACACTGAATATCTTCATGACGATAATCATACAGCTGCTCAACCATCATGTCCGAATCAGCGGTTTTCAGTCAGGTACTTGAAGTGATGTAACTTGACTTGTAAAATTTAAAATCCTGTAATTATTTAGTATCTCGTTTTGCAATGTGAACCGTTTTTAAATCAGATGGTCTTTACTTTATGACAATCCTTGCGGCACTACTCCAACCTGTTGAGGTTGTACATTGACTGAACATTGTGCAGACTTTGGAGGATGAAACTGCAGCAATATACTCGTGAAACCTGGACTGCATATACATCAAATATGATTATCGGCATGACCTGTGCTTAAACAATTCTATTGCTTTACTAAATGATGACTCGTCTCAGTAATCATTATGTATTTTAATGTCTTTGCTATAACAGCTGTGTATTTCTTGATGTAGATGTTATCGGAATCCTAATTTATTGAGCTGAATCGTGCACATTTGTATTATACAAATTTAGATTTTCACCGGTAGCTTTACAATGTTCTCGCCATGTTGAGAAATAATTAATCACGCATTTGTGTCATACATGGACAAGAAAAGTAATTTCATGGTTAATACTCAATAGAGTTAGTGTAAGTTCCTGACCTTCTGTGCTGAAAGAATTGACTGTATATTACACTCCACCACCTTTTTGGTTTCTGTTAGTGGAGGTGGGTTTATTGCAAGAGATAGTTTGAGAGATGATAAATTTCGTCACGAGTTATGTGACCATGAGCGAGCATTGCAAAGTATAGAGAATTTAGACTACTTTACTTCATGCAATGGTAAGCCCATATCTCTCTTAAAGAGTAAATTGCGCCCTTCAATCTTTTTTTCAGGAGGCAAACTAGAAATGATGGTGACAAACAGAAAACAGCATATTTACGAGAAAGTTTCCCAAAATAAGTAAAATCGAAAACTGAAAACTGAAAATATGATTGATATAGCAAATGACTAATTTAGAAGTCAATCTCAATATAACTTCAGTCTACAACTGATGAAAATAAGGAATGACGAGGTGGCCAACTTGCTGGTCGAAGAACAATTTTTCAATCGAGACATATTCTCAGGCAATGATATCCACCACTCACGTGAGGTTTTTCAAATTTTTAGCCTGAAATTAAAATTTGGACATATACTCTACAGTAGTATCTGGGCTAACACAACGATAATAACTCGTCGTCAGAAAATGATTTGAAGAAGTGTTGTTTTTAAAAAGTTTATATTGCCTTAGAAATGACTATTTATAAAGTTAGATATATTATAATTTTTTGTTTTATGATTGGATAAAGTCCAGATTTATGCAAGAGCATTTGGTTTACAATAGAATGATTCCAGAAGACTTAATTTTAAAGACTCTATATGTATCCTAAATATAGATAGCATGAACTAAAAAAGTTTCCAATGTCTAAATTTTTTGTTAAAGTTCTAGAGAATTTGATCAAAGGACTTTACTTTGAAGTTGAGACTGTTTAAAAATTAAATTTTTTTCACTAACCTGATAGTTTCTAGGTAGTAGAAGTGACTTTGCATGTGAAGTGTTGTTTAGAATCATTCAATATGTTTGAAAATTTGTTATAAATTATTACATTCATTATCAATAGCAATGATGCTTGGCAAAAAGTATGAATATGCCGAGTTTGTAAGTTTGCAGGGGCTTTTGTACTCTACACTATAATTCGAATCATGGGATTCCACACCAAGATTCAAGAAGTCTCTTTGATGCAATTACATATTTTAGCGCATCAACAATGTCAACTACTTACGTAAAAATATACTAAATGAATCTTTTCAATATGTATTACGAATATGAAAAAATTATTTAAATAGATAAATAGAAATTTTAGAAATAAACCTGAATTTGAATAAGATATTCATTAAAATATTTAATTTTTTTTTCAACTATTAAAATCATAACATAAGCAAATTTAGCATAAATTTAATTTAAGAAAATTGGATAAAAAGTCAATATCTGAAATAAATCACGAATAGAATTATTATTGTAAAAAATATATTCAATCTATAGGAAAAAATCTTATATATGCATGCATCAAAGTAAAATCTTTAAACCCAGAAAAAAAAACATAAATCTGAAGATTCAACCTATTCTAAAAAAAATCTAATCTTTTTCGCTCATCCGGAAAAAAATACAAATGACAATGGAATTTTTGATGACGTTTATTTGAGAAATATTATTGCTTCTAATTGAAACTTTGGAAAAAATTTGTAATTAAATGTATGATAGCTTTTATAATAAGGATTATGTAAAAAATGTTGCGCAATTCTTCATGAGACAGTTATAATCTACACAACATAAAACATGGAAAATAATGTAGTTTACCCTTCTGGTTACGAACATGGAAACACACCTCAAATGTTGAATGCGACCAGCAAACTCGCGTGGCTAAGTAGGACAGCAGATACCCAGCCAATTGAGCCAAAACCCTAAAGCCTAGTGTCTTGATACTATGAACCCACCTTCACCAACACATCCTCTAGTATGGTTTACCATACTAGGGGAGAATGACTAAGGAAATAAATACAAAATGACTAATAAAAAAATTATTTTCAAAGTAGAAAAAATATATATTAACATCAAAATTATGAAAAAAAATAAAATTTTACCTAGTAGTTTATTTAATTTTTGAGAATAAATTTTGATTTATTCTACAACATTGATTTTCATATAAAAACTTTCAATAAATAAAAAAAATTTTATTTACATTGTTGATCTGAAAACACGAAAATTGATTAGAGTGTCTACATTTTTATAGAAATTTGGATCCACATTAACATAAATGTCTTATTTATCACTTCAATCACAAATTTTATGCTTTTTTATCACATTTTTTTATACTTCATGTAACAATGAATATAAAATAAAAATTTCAAATTCAATCTCTCTATAAAATTTTGATTCAAAGATTCTTTGATATTAATAACTTTCAACAACAAATTTATCACGAATTTTATTTTAAATTTTTAAAATCTGCATAAAGGTGAATGCATCAGATATATTTCTGAAAAAATTTGTCATGCTAACGAATAATCAAAATATCAAATTTATGTAAAATATAAAATATTAAAAATATTTCGGAATCATAAATTAGTTACTCAATAAGATAGTCAAAAATCCAAATTGTTTTTAATTTCAATAAGTAATTTGAATTTAACATTTTTTTAAATATAAAAGTGATTAATTTATTAAAAAATAGGAAAAAATATTGAAAATATTTTTTCAATTTTTAATTTCCAACTTTCTGAATCAATATAAAATCTTCTTTTCTTTTAAATTTATTTTTAAAATTTTCTTGTTGAAGTTGTTTTTCCTATTATGGTTTATGGATTCTTGTGCATTTTTTGTCAAACTAAATATATTTTTTCAAAACTATAAAATCTATTCTGAACAAATCTCATGTGAAGCAGATATAAGAAAGCAATGAATCATTAAAAATCCCTTGAAAATAATTTCTTAAGATTCGTTCATTTGTAATAAGAACAATGAATTTATTTCACTTACTATTTTCAACAACACCAAAAAAAATAAAGATTTAAGATTTCTTCTCTACAAAATCCAAACTATTATACAAAATATTATTATGTAAAGAAAAAATAAATTTTCATAAATGAATTAGATGGATTGAACAGATTCATTTTCATTATTCAAAAAAAATTCAAAAATTGACATAAAAACAAGGATATAAGATTCTTAGTAGAGAGCACATTATAACAATTTTTTCCTTTATTATGATATTTTCTTATGAGTCAATGTTAACATTACCGAATATAATAAAAGACAAAGTATATAGATAGAATAATATTGATTCAATTTGTTTTGACTCAAAAAAATTTACAAGTAATCTTTAAGGTTATTTTTTTTAATTATACTTGATCTAAATCAATTACGGAAGTGAAAGATCCCCTCATGCAGATCTACCAGCACACACGACAATCACAACACCAAGATAACGTTGTTCACATTTCACAGTCTACGTCCATGGTCAAGAGCATAACTTCACTAAAGCACGGATGATTACAGGGACTCCATAGCCAAGCGCTACTCAAGAGCAGAACTTCACTAAAGCACGGATGATTACATGGACTCCATAGCTAAGCGCTACTCCAACCCGTTCACTCTCTCGATGCTATCCTGATCTGTACGCAGAGAGAGTCACCTTATCTTTTCTATACTAGAAGAGATAAGGTGCACATAATACCTAACATAACCTAACCACAGTTAATTTCCTAACCATGGTTACCACAAACTGGAGTTAATCCAAGATAGAGTTAACCTAACAAACTTCCCCCTTGACTCAAGTCTTGGAGAGGTAACTAATGTATCCCATATGTATCTCTGGGGGAAGTTCTAGAAAGTAAAGCTAAATCATGCTTTCCCTCTATAGAAGAGAGTTAACTAGAACTAAGGTGTAGACGGCAAAAAACCGCATGGAGAATATATGTACAAAAGTTACTAGACTAACTATCCCTATGCAAAATTGCAACTTTGCACAATGCTTGGAATAAATCTCCAAAGGAATTACTTTGGTCAATGCGTCGGCAGGGTTGAGCTTACCATCAATCTTGATGAGCTTAAGTGCACTATTAGACACGGCTTGTCTGAAATAATGTAACGAATATCAATGTGATTTATCCTACCATCCATCATATTGTTCGATGCTAGATGAAGTGCGCTATGGCTTTCACAATAAAGACTCATATCACTATGTGGCAGCCCCATCTCAGTGGCCAACTTGTTCAATCAAATTGACTCCTTCGCTGCTTCTGCTGCTGCAACGTATTCAGCTTCTGTGGACGACTGAGAAATGCATTTTTGAAGTGTAGATCTTCAACTTATGCATCCACCAGCAAGAGTGAAAACATACCCAGTTTTTGATCTCCGCCTATTCAAATCTTCTCCATAATCAGCATCAACATACCCCAAGAGCGAACTTGCATTGTTTGAACGAGCATCAAACAATAATCATGTATCAAGAGAAACCTTGATATACCTCATAATCCACTTTACAGCTTCTCAATGCTCTCGTCCAGGATTTGACATGTACCTACTCACTTTCGCAACTGCATATGATATATCTGGTCTAGTGCGTACCATAAGATACATAGTACTGCCAACTGCACTTTCATAAGGAATAGAAGACATCAATACTTTAGCAATTGCATCAGTTGGACATAAAGCTGCTGAAAGTTTAAAGTGTGGAGCTAATTGAGTACTTACAACTTTAGCATTTGACATGTTAAACCTAGCAAGTACTTACTCTGCATACCGTGTCTGTGTCAATCAAAGTTTGCTTGATGACTCGTCCTTGTGGATCTTCATGCCTAGTATACGCTTAGCAGGACCTAAGTCTTTCATATTAAACTCAGAAC